AAACTTGTTTAGTTGCGGTGGCTTGGCAAGAGGAGGCCAACAAGGCTCGGTCGGGGTGGCTCGATTTGGATCGCGCTTTGCTTCCACCAGCTTCTGATAGCTGGTTTGGAACAGGGAATTGTTGTAATGATCTAACCTTATTCTGTGATGCTGCGGTTCGAGAAACAACAATTGGTTTTGGCGGTTGGATTGGAGATTCGAAAGGAGTGTGCTGGGCGGTCTTTGCAGTTCGCATTCCAGGTTCCTTTTCACCAGCTGAGGCTGAATCAGTTGCCCTCAGCTACGGTCTTCGTTTCGCATTAGATTCGGGCTTCTCTATTCAAAGTGCGAAAACAGACGCTCTTTCAGTTGTTATCGGGTTGATTGAAAACTCCCCGTCCGATCCGTTGCACCAAGTGTTCATGGACATTTTATCGCTTTTGGATAAGCTGAATTGCAGGTCTTGTTTTCATGGGGCTAGGGAACATAATAGTGTTGCACATGCTATTGCTAGTAGGGTTTTTTCGTTTTCGTCGACGGGACCTTTATTGTGGATTGATAGCATCCCGTCTTTTTTGTCTCCCTTGTTTGGGTTGGTATCGAAGGTTTAGTTTATGCTGGATTGTATTTTGTATTTTTTGTCGTTTAATTTAGTGCAAACAAAAAAAAAAAAAGCAACTTAAGCTTTAATGAATCAAATCCTTCAGTATTCGTTATAACTTATCACTTCATCATTTATGTTCCGATTTACCTGATTCAAGTGACCTCAACGGAAGCTTCAACTACGACGAGAAAATTAAGAAAAGGTACTAAAACCTAGAAATCAGTGTTGAACTAAAATATTTCAGGAATGTACAAAGTACAAACACATCCGAACTACCTAACAAATTCTCAAACTAAAATCAGAACTACACTAGCGCAAAAATGCATATGCAAAGAAAAATAGAAATGTTGAAATCCATTAAAGTTCAACAGAGCACAAATAATGCATATGCAAAGAAAAATAGATAAGTGAAATCCAATTAAAGTTCAACAGAGCACAAATAATGCCTATCGTTTGATGAAAAATGAAAGATTGTTTCATGTAGAATGTTTAACCTAGTTTTTTCACTTAATGTCTAGAATAAGTGGAGAAAAGTAGCCGGTGGTCAGTAGGCAAGAGGCTAAAAGCCCCAAGTTCACCTGTTTTTACATAATGGAGAAAAACCACAGGCTCACAGTACAACAGAAGTAACAATTATTGAAGACAAATGAATCATTGAAATCTACTGAGAAGACATAGGCGGTCAAACGATGGTGCCACAAACTTCATTCCTCAGATTGCCTCTGTCCAAGAACCGGAATATCCTCATATCGTTTCTGAAAAGTCAAGAAACGCAAATTTAAAAAACACAACTTATATATAGAGGTCCTTCACTCATTTATGCAAATGAAGTTTTAAACTGTTTTTTAATTGTATCCTGCATCATTTAGCCTCAACCACGTTAAACATAAACATTAACATATTTGACATGTGAATAGTTGACATTAAAGGGGAATTTATGTTTATATTTGACATGTGAATAGTTGACATTAAAGGGGAATTTATGTTTGCTTGACTAGATTATCGGTAGAAATCAATATTTAACCAAAGAAAAAAAAAATAGAAGACCAGAAGCAAAGCTATCACACTAGAGACTTACAGCTTTCGCAATTTTGCATAGATCATTGTAAGATTCACGTTAATGTTTACGAGTGCAAATTCTTCTAAATAAAATTGGTCATTCCTGTTTCTCTATATCCTCAGATACACCAGCTCCAGAAGCATGTGCCTACATCCCCTCAACTTATATACACAGTAGAAAGACCTCCTAAGTAAACATTATATACTTCCAATTCACTTTTAACCCTTTAGTTCCTCCATGCATTTTAGACCAGCGACAATTTTTTTTTTTTATTTATTTTTTCGGAAGCTGCATCTACCAGAGTAATAAAGCTTTTCATTCAAAGTCACAAAATAGATAAATAAATAAATAAATGCTTGAGAGGCAGATATATGCATCATATACATATAAGCACAAGTACAACTTTCTAAATCACACCCATTTCATTTTCCGCCATCAATATTTTTTAGAAGGATGAAATCAAAGGATAAAACAAAAAGGAAAAGAAAAACGACGCAACTAAAATGTTAACAATGGAATCGATGACTCTGACGCTCTTTACCATTCAACTCAAGATCCCACTTACAGAGTCAAATTAAACAACTCCAAGCCTAACACTTTAAGATGATGGTTTAGCTACAGCCTTAATGGCAGGAACTTGAATGATTAACTGGACCAAATGACGCGTTATATATGTTATAGAAACTACACATGTGCCTCAGACCAATGAGCTACATATTAAAGAACCAACAATAGGCATACATACAACCAATTTTCTACCAGGTTACCATTAAAAACCAACAAGTACCTGCAACTAACTCAAAAATGACAGAAACACGCAGGTACATACATGAAAACATTTCAAATAAATTAACTGAAAAGATAAAAGAAACAGTAATACCCCAACATTGACGTGGTCCCATAGACTACGAATCCCATGATCAACAGCCTGAAATAATGAATAACAAAAATCTGAATAAACATAATCAAAATTCAATACATTTACCGGACTTCCCAGATCCGATCGAATCAAGTGAATATGGAAGCATATAATCAGAAAACGCACACACACACGATTTATAAGTATATATAGAGAGAGAAAATTTGAGAGGGAGATACAGACGCGTTCACCGAGAAAAGCGCCGACGACGACGAATGTGACGTAGACCGGAGTCCGGCGCATAATCACTCTGTACAAACCCTCCCATACGCCGCCGCCTCTCCTAGATGCCGAATTCATCTCCGGTGGTCTGCAGAAAAGACGAAAAGCTTGAAAGTGTGTTTCAATGTCTGGTGAGGAAGAAGAAATGAGGGGGCGAGACTGCGGGTGGTTGATTGATTTGTTTGATCCAAAATGTTTACAAGACGGGTTTCGAGATTGTTAGTTTAGTGGGCTGGATCGAAGTTTTTATTTGCTTTTATATATGGGCTTGGTTCGAATGTTTATAAAGGCTGGCCTTATTGATTGGTGTGCTAATGACACATGGTCCACTTATGCTAGTGAAATTTTTTCGTATTACAATTTAATACAACCAAAAGATTTTAATTCCACATGTTAACTGTAGTTTTTAACCTTGGCCCAGAAATCGACCCGGGCAGGCTTCCGGGTCACCGGTTTAATCGTCGGGTCGTCGGCAAATTTTGTACTGGATAATTAATGTTTTAAAATTATATATAGTATTTTTGACATATAAATATATATAAAAGTAACAAAAATAAATATTTTGTATATAAAATTTGTATATCAAAGTGTTAAAAGAATTGTATCTCACAATAAATGTTTATTATATCAACATATTTACATAGTTTTTCATTTTTTATATAAATCTATTTAAAAAATAATATATATATTGTTGGTATGGCTCATATATTGACAAAGGAAAAGGGCAGGCTGATGCCTGCGAGCGTAACGGAGCGAACGTAGCGAGGGAAGCGGAGCGACCGAGCGAAGTGAGCGGAGTGGAGCGAGGGGTGCGAAGTGAGCGGGGGTG